TCCTCCTCCTCTTCCTCATCACTGTGTTGTTGTTCTTTCTCTGCGGTGGTTTCTTCTCCTCGGCTCTCCATCAGGTTCCTGCAGTCCAGCAGTTTGACGGAGCACATCTTCAGCGGCGTCTGCAGCATCTGCTGTTCTCCAGCGTTACAGTCAGAGGTTTGATCAGTGGATTCATGATCCTGAGCGTCAGTATAACAGAGTAAAGTGAGGCTGAGCTCTGAGTCCTGTGTGTCTCTGGATCTCTGATCTCTGACGCTCCAGACTGAATCCTGAGCTTCTGTCCCATCAGCCGCACGCACTGAAACCTGCTCCACATCCTGACAAACACAATCAGCTTATCAATACAGAATCATATATCAGTTGATTCTGACACTCATGAATCAACTTTGAAACGTAAAGGGATAGTTCACCCAAAAATGAAAATTCTGTCATTAATTACTCACCCTCATGTCGTTCCAAACCTGTAACCTCTCACTGCAATGATATTACACAGCGCCTGAAAATAGGCTAACTTACGTCGACATAACTAACGTGACCACCTGCTTGCACAGGGAGCGTGCTGGGGACTATTTTCAGGCACTGCATAATATCATTGCGCCTGCTGCACCCGTGGTACGGCAGCAAAGTTCCTTGATTATTACGCCGGAATGAGAGTATAGTTCCTAGCCATATCGGCCAAGAAAATCTCAACTTTTCATTTTCCGTCGGTCTTAGTACACGATGTAACTACAGAAGAGTCCAGGTTTAAATAGGAAAAATATAGAAACTCTTTGGTCATTTTTGAGCGAGATGCTAACGGTCTAATCAGATTCAATGATCTATGCTAAGCTACAGCTAAAAGTGCTATAAGCTAAAACAGCTACCGCCAGACCCGGAGATCGGCTGAATGGATTCGAAAACGGTAAAACTCAATTGTTTAACTCTAGGGAAGTTGGAAAATGAGCCTATTTTCAAAAAAAGTGGAGTGTTCCTTTAATGATCTATTAAATTAAAGTGCATTGTAGGGATGATCATTTTAACCATTTAACCGGTTAACCGACTAAGAATTTTGACCGATTAATACAATCAGTTAAACGGTTTTAAAAAATTTAATTATTTATTTTTTCAGTAATTTATCAAAATATTTAAAAAGGTTTGCTGCATGGTAAATAAAAAACATAAGTCGCGTGTAAGTCACATTTTATTGTTTCATTCAGAAATAGCTAGGCCTAATGCCGACGCGAAATGTTTACAAACATTATAATAAACGCTGTAAACATAGCTAGGCTATTTTAGTTCCCCTCACTCCACAACAAAGCCTTTCAATTAACAGTATTTAGAAAAGAACAAGAATTAAAAATGTAAGAAGCTATAGCAATATAAACGACAAGCCAAAACGAATTAATTTAGGCTAAAATGAAACTGACACCAATGTTGGGTCTCCCATTCCACACAAAATCAAATGTTTCCGTATTCGCAATGTATTTGAATGGCAAATTATTATGTAGCCTACTTCACTGGCGTTCCAATATCCACGTAAATCAAAATGTTTTGCATAACATCACGGCGGTGCGGTGATAACGCTTAACGACACAGATTTTACTACATTTTTTTTTTACTACATAGTTTTTTTCCCGTATGTTTGACTGACTGTATTTTATTATGATAATGAACAGGCTGCATTGTCAAGGTAGCACAGCTTAACTGTGTGCGCGCATGCGGCGCCGGCGCAATCACTTGAGTTTTTTCCTTCTAACAGTGGAAGCAGCTACTCCTTTCAGTCCTAAAGACAATCGAAATTGTAAAAGGTTTGCCTTTATTTGTGTACATTCACAATAAAAACAAATCTTTGTGCTTTTGTAAAATAATCCTAAAGAAAAATAGGATGATATCGTCTGTTTCCTTTCACGCAGCACAAAAATGAACCGAAACTCTGCATACTAGGCTACTTGTTGCACAGTTTTTCTTTAATTTTCTTAATTTAAGTAAAAATATGTTTCTCGCATAGGCCTATTTATTCGTAACATATATATATAGCCTAGCTTTATTATGTTTTTCTCCGCTGGCAGAAGCGCTGCAGGTGCGTGATGTGATATGAACACATGTGAATCCTCATGTTCTGTTGTTTGCTGCTTTTTGCGCATGAAAAATGAATCCCCGGAAAACAAATGCTAGTATTTTTTAACGGGTCACAGACACTTATCCTTTCTAAATTAATTCAATTGTAATTTAAAATAATCTCATGCTGGTGGTGACACCTCTCCTGCAACATGTTTAGCCATCACTGATATTATACTTAGCTTTTTTGGCTTCTGATCGCAAATGTAGCCAAACTTTGGGGCGCTTAGATTAGCGAGCAAGGTCCTGGCAGATCGCTATAGGTCCGGTCCTCACAGATGAAGAAAAAAAAGAGCATAGGAGTCGATAGGCTGAATCAAAATTTTAATTTGACAAGTATCCGATTCCTGACCTTAAGTATCCGATTCTGGAATCGGAATCGATTTTTGATTCCCTATTAATGACTTTGAAGTGACACAACTGAACTGACTCTGGGTAGATTACATGACAGTAACTCCACGGCAGTCAGATGTAGTTCCTATTAGGGATGCACCGATACCGATACTGAGCTCCTGTACTCGTACTCGTTAAAATGCCCCGATACCAAACGCCGATACCACACAGCATGTGATAAGCGCCATATTCAGACAGGAACACCGACAACAGAACAACAGACAGCAGAATGGAGTTATAAGAGATTAAAGATGTCTACGAAGTATATGTATGCAATGAATATAATGTTAAACATTCAGTATTAACGCCTGTATAGCTGGTGTGCGCGAGCTGAGAAGCAAAGCACGCTGAGTGGATTGAGCGAGCGCCGGCGCAGATGCGCGAGCTTGTCGAGTGAATATATCTTTCTCACAGACATCACTGAAAGTTTGTAGTTCGGTCAGATATATAAAAAACAAGTAAGTAAAACAATGCACAAGTTACTTAGCGGTAGAGAGAGAGAGAGAGAGAGAGAGAGAGCGCGCGCACTTCTGTTGTGTGATCTTTGATGTTCACTCACTTAGCACATGCATCATTTGGATTAAAACTAAATCGTAAAAATAAGACCATTTATAGGGGCATTCACTATAAACATCATTTATTTTTAACCTTAGGCATACACGACTTTCTGGTGAAAGTGAATCTAGCAGCCTGTGTGAAATGCGCTAGTCTGTACTATCTGCATCAGTACAAATACCTGCACGCGCTGCGCATGTTTTGTTTGCTTCTTGAGTGTTTCTGCATTATATGAGTGGCTTTGGAATATAAATCGCAGCACGTTTCAGATGAAAAAACGCGACTTCTATTTCTGAAAATATCACAGTTAGGAGATTTATAACGAGTGGTTCCCTGCATTATTACAGCAAAGCACATGATTACAGTACTGAGCCGCTGCAATGGAGCAGCTCTAATGCTATTAAATTACAGATGATGTACCATAGAGCAAAAGATGAACAGTGAAAGTAACTTGTAAAATACATTTTAATGGGCATAATTAAGTGTCAAAATAACCGAAGGACATACAGTCAAACCATAAATGATTCAGATACCAGATATAATTTTTATATTTTTTAACTAGTGGGTGCAGGACACTATAGCTCATTTATGTAAGTGAGGATAGCAAATTAAAGTAAACTGTGACAAATTATACCCAAAATGTCTTCATACAGTGGACTACCAGTAAAACTGATACAAATTTGGGACCAAAAATTATTCAGACCGAGTCTGGGAAAAAAACTGAAGTTGAGGTTTGCATGAAGCTGGGTGACAGCATGCCCAGGAGACCACAGGCTGTCATTGAGGCTAAGGGTCACCCGACTAAGTATTGATAGTTATGTAAATACTGTCATACTAACAGCTGTCTAATATTTTGGTTGATTGTAATCTATTACATACCTTTCTATCAAAGTTATACATTATCAAGCTGAATTTGTTCTGACACAGTTTAACTCTGAGTTCTTGTCATATTTTATTACCATTTTCTAAACTATAAAGAATAAACTGATAATGGGAGAAATGTTGAAGGTGTCTGAATAAATTTTGGTTTGACTATCTATTTGATAAATGAAGTTAACCAACTAACATTATACATACTCTTTTGGTTTCTGTATCCAATATTTAAAACATTTACAAATGCAATAAAACATTGGTATCGGTACTCGGTATCGGCAAGTACCAAAAATAAAAGTATCGTATCGGGCGAGTACTGGAAAAAGTGGTATCGGTGCATCCCTAGTTCCTACATCCAAATTTCATTCATACTATCCTCATTCATATTATAATAGAACATATATTTTTTAACAGTGGCTAAGATAATTCAAATTAAGATGTACTTCCTACTCACAGTATGCTATTTCAGTGCAGTTAGCCTTGGATGTCTGAAATATTAGCTTGGAGACGCTACAAATATGGCAGAGTGAACAAACTTGACTTGAAATGGACTTTGACTCTCTACCGCAAATTAAAGGAAATAATAGTCATTTCTAGTCATGATGTGGCAGTATTAAAAAACTGCTAAAAGAAGCTGTAACTGTTTTGTGTGGTCATAATTCTAAATATCACATAAACATACACTTTAATTCTATCTGATCTTTAATTCTACTTGACATTACAGTGAAGTTCAAGTAGCTGCCACAAAACCACCAAACATTTCCACCCAGAGGATTAGTTTCTACCAAGTAAATATTTTACCTTACACGGCGGCATAAATGCTCTGGAAGAACAGTGAAGAAATGGATAATTAATAAACCATGGTTCTTTCTTGATTAAAAGAAACTGGTACTGCAATGAAAAACAGAGTGTATTCTCCTTCATGCATTTCACCACAAAAAACATGATTAACAGGCTTATGAAATCCAGGCGCTCGTATTATTGTAGTATTTTATTTTGAGGATTTTTAATAGTTCTGTCTGGCAGGGGCGCCGCTAGCAATTTTGGGCCCTATGAAAGAATATGAGGTTGGGCCCCCTACCGCACCAAACATACACTATATTGCTCAAAGTATTGGGACACCCCCTTCTAAAGAACAGGTTTGACAACTTTAATTTCCATAAGTACAAATCTTAATGTTTTAGCTGGCCACAAAAGTGAGTACACCCCTAAGTGAAAATGTCCAAATTGGGCCCAATTAGCCATTTTTTCTCCCCGGTGTCATGTGACTCATTAGTGTTACAAGGTCTCAGGTGTGAATGGGGAGCAGGTGTGTTAAATTTGGTGTTATCGCTCTCACTCTCTCATACTGGTCACTGGAAGTTCAACATGGCACCTCATGGCAAAGAACTCTCTGAGGATCTGAAAAAAAGAATTGTTGCTCTACATAAAGATGGC